TGACTGAAACAGGTTTTGTATTAGGTTCTTCACATGTGTAATGACATGTAATTTACAACTTTATGAAGTTGTGTTATTCCTTTTTAGCAGATGAGAAATTTAAACTTAAGGGACTTTAAACAGTTTGTCAAAGGTTACAAAAATAATAAGTGGTGGAGCTAGATTCAAATTGGGGTCTGTCAGACACTAAACTTGATTTCAGTTCTGTTATTTTGGTAGTGTAAGTGAGAAAAATTGTGGTAAGACCTATCTAGTAACTATTTATTTATCAAAGTATTCTGGTGCCCCAAATATGTAATTGTCCATCGACTTTTTTTTTTAAGAGGTTTTTAGTGTTTAGATTTTTTTTCCAGCATACGCTTTTCTAGTGCTATTGAGGTAGAAAGAACAATTTGCTGTGGGTTTCGTTCCTTGAATGGGACTTGTAGGAATACCGAATACAGAAGTATTGGAATACAGAAGTGAGATTATGGTTCATATATAAAGGACCTTTGAGTACCATAAATGACAAAGAGCTTTGCTTTTAAATTAGCAGTAATTTCTAATATGGCTGTGTAAAAATAGAATAGGTAGTTTTGAATAGGTAGCAAAATTTTTGGTCAATCATTTACTCATAAGAAACACTATGTAGATAAGAGGAGAATGGGTGATTTTAAGAAACTCTCCCTGGGGAACACAAACCCAGAGGGTTCTGGCCTACCTGTTTTCTTTTTTCTTTTGGTTTTAATGGCACACAGCCACAACCCGTTTGTTTACATATTGTCTGTGGCTGCTTTTATGCTATAACTGCAAAATTGAGTTAGTTACCTTATAGTCTATAGCATCTAAAATTAAAACATTTACTATCTGGTTCAGTCCAGTAAAAGTTTATTGACCCTTCTTATAAAGTAAACCCCAATGAAAATGATTTTACTTCATTTGTCCGTAAAAAATGGGGAAAACTTTTCAAGCATAGGCTCCTAACTTGTTGGTTCTTTCCAAGGTCAGCACATAAGCTACATAGTGGTCTCCTTTGCTAAGAGCAGATTCTGGCCATATGATGTCTTGTTAATTACGAAAGGCTGAGCTAAAGACTTTGTCCTCAGTTCAGCCAGACTAACTGAAAGCCTCAACTAAGTTCTTTTCTCTTAGTTTTTTGTTTTACCCATTCTATTTAACCGTAAAGCACATTTAGCATCAAATAAAGTTCATTGTGACCTCAGGCAAAGGGAGGCAGCCACATGTGGGAGTGCTAGAAATAAACCTGGTATCTGTCTCAGGGGAAGCAATGTGTGTCTAACAAGAAAAAGGAACTTGTCTGTTCAGTGAGATCTTTGCTGACTTTTTGTACTCTGACCCCATGTTTAAAAAAATATGCAGGACTTCAATTCTTTTGAGTTCATTTTCAAACCAATAGCTTTTTTTTTCCCACCAAACATTTTTTACTGTTTCTATAAATATACATGCCCCAGTGTTCCTGTTGTACGTGTTTTTCTTTTGGCCAGCTGTTCAGGTTAAACCTGTTCATGTAGCACACACTCTTTTAAGTTCAATGTCAAATCTTCAGATACCTTCTACACATTACTATTTTGATCAGAATATTTTAGCACCTGCAAAAGTGCCGTGTTAGCATGAATGAAAGTGCGTATTTCTCATTTTCATTTTTCTCTGATGTCTCAAAATATTCTTTTGGTATCTTCCATGCCAAATTAGAACATTTGTAAGCCATCAATATGTTAGAACACCCTGACTTTTGGTCAACAAATAGGTAATTAGACTTTTCTGTCAAGTCTGATAGGTTGCATGTAAATCTACCTGGCTATTTGGTAGATTTGACAGTCCCATCTCGTGCCCTCCCCCACCCGCCCCAAAACAGCTGACATTGAATTTTGGAGAGTTGTCTTCACTGTGACTTTATATTTGAGTTGCACTAATGGGGTTTACTTCCCTTTTAAGAGAGCTACACCGCAGTTCTAATGACACTGGTTTCAGTAGTTAGAAGGATGAAGGAAGAAGATGGAAGCAATGCAAGCCTTAGGTAAAAGAATTATACTTGCCTCCTTTTGAAGCAATGGGCTAGGAGACTTGGGGTCAAGGCCAGAGAAAACTTTCTACATACTCATTCAGAGTAGGGTGATGGGGCTGCCATCCCCACTGCTGTAGAATTTATCTCATTTTACAATTCTTGTTTTAATGGAAAGATAACAGATTGCTCCTTGGGTCAGAGAGTCTGAGAAAGGAAGATAAACATTACTAAGCGTTGTCATGGCCTTTATAAGAAGTTGAGTGCAAAGGGTGCCCCCGTAAGGTGGTCAGGGCTCCAAGAGTTTGTCCCCAGCTTGACTTCTGTCAAACTGTCTCTATGACAAGGATGTTTTTTCCTTCCCATTGTGAGCGTTCCATCCTCAAGACACTAAATGCTTTCATCATTGTCTGCTTTTGAAGAGGAAATTGTTGGACTTTTGCCCAGTTTGACTGCAAGTGGGGTAGGAGAAGATGTAGGAGAGTGAGCCAAAGTGCACTTTAACCAGACAGTGTTTACTTCACATGTGTTGTGTCACGATAAGGATAGGGGTATTGGTAAAAACTTTCATGCTCCATAGCTACCTTTTCTAGTGAAGCATAAACTTTAAAAAAAGAGAAATAAATTAATAATGCATATGTAAAGCAGGCTGTTGGTATATCAGGCTGTCAGCATGAAGTTTCACAATTTTGCTTCCAACCGTATTTTGCTAGAACTAGGGAAGTGCTTAAAGAGGCATAAAATTGAATTGTTGGTTGGAAGGAAATTTAGGAACTATTAAATGAAACTCTCCTCTTTTATCTGATTATTACACTACCACACTCATTCATTCCCCCAACACACACACACACACTCACACACTCACACTCACACATTTTTTCTCTTTGGTGAAGTCCTTATGTGGCAGATAGAGGTCTGCATGGTCTTTCCAACACTGACTCTTTCTTCTCCTCACCTGCTCCCCCTGTACTTTCTTCTGTCCCTCATGTCCTTCCTCCTCACAGAGATCTTTCTTGACTGTTGACACGTTCTACTGGCACTTCTCATTTATCCATTGATCACATGCACATTGTGCATTTCTGGTTTGTCTGATCAGTGAGAGCAGGGACTGCATTTCTGGCTCACTTCTGTGTCACCAGCAGCTAACACAATGCTTGGCACATAGCTGCACTCATATATGTATAGAACCCGTGAGTTCCATCCATTGCATTTTCTGTAGTCACCTGACTTTTATTTGAACTTTGCGAGGTATCTTATTCCATTTTATATTTGCTCTAGTGATAATACCAGTTTTAGAAAACTGAAGAAAATGTTGACAACCAAAATGAGAAAAGGATAATATTAATATATGAAGAACTCATATAAATCTCTAAGGAAAATGTTTAAAACTCTAATAAATAGACCAAGTATGTGATTAGCTAATTCACAAAAGAAATTCTACATAAAATGGCTAAAAGAGATCTGAGAAAATGCTTATTTGCACTACGGATCATATAAATGCAAAGCAAAGCAAAATCCTATCTATAGATTTAGCAAAAATTATTTGGCACAAGAAGCAGCCTGAGAGACCTCTTACACAGTGACTCTGTAGACTGTGTTAGGTTAAAAAGATAGTTTTAGAGCCACTCAGACCTAGTTTTAAGTCTTAGATCTTCCACTTGGTTAAATGTATGACTTTTTTGCAAATTAGTTTTATGTCTCGTTTATAAAGTTGGGAATTTACCTATTTATAGGGATTTTGTTATTGTTTGTTTAATTCATTCAGAAATACTTATTGAGTGCCTGCTTTGTGCCCAAACACATTCTCAGGTACTGAGGATACACAGTGAGCAAATTATCCCTGGCTGATGGAATTTACATCCTAATGGTAGAGACAGACAATAAACAAATACATAAATAAAATGTACAGGATGTTGGATAGTGTTGAGGGCTATAGAGGAAAATAAAGGAGGGAAGAGATGGCAGTTAGTATGTCACTGTGTTGCTATTTTAAATAGGATGATTCAGGAATCCCTTACTGAGACGGTGACATTTCAGCAAAGATTTCAAAATGGTAAGGGAGTAAACCATGTAGATGTCTTGGAGAAGAATGTTCCAAGTAGAGAAAATAACACAGATAAAGGAATGAGGGAATATTGTACCTGATATGTTTGGGGAATAGCAATGGAGCCAGTATAGTAAGAACAAGTGAGCAAGTGGAAGATACTAAGAGAGGTGAAGGGGGACAAGATTGAAGGCCTTGTGAGCTACAGCAAGCGGGTTGGCTTTCACTTAGGTGGGAAGTCATGGCTGAAATTTCAATCAGGGGAATGACATAATATGAGTATATTTTAAATGGATTATGTTGCTCTTGCATTTAGAACAGACTATGCTGTGGAATCAGGTAGACTAATTAGGAAACTTGAATTTTGAATAGGGGTTGATGATGACCTGGACTAGGGTGGTAGCTTAAGGAAGGGTGGAGACAGAGAACTACTTAGACTCTGTACATTTTCAAGGTATGTAAATATTAGGCATGAGAGGAAAAGTGAAAGATTACAAGGTCTTGGGCTTGAACAACTATAAGGAAGGAGTTGTTGTTAACCAAGGTAATGTGTAGAGTGCTTAGCCTGCTGTGTGGCATCTACTAGATGCTACATAAAGGGTGGTTCCCTTCCCCAAAATTTAGGGTAAAAATGAAAGACTTTTCCTTTATCTGATGTGCTTGTGTCCACCTACACAAACAAATAGAATACTTCACCAAAATAATTAGATAACAAATTATACATTTAGCTAGCACATTGGAGTTTCGTAAATTACTCCATCTGTTCACTAAGATATTTACACTGTAATAGAAAGTGGAACTAATATTTTTCGATATGACTGATACAGTAATGGCAAGGTTATCAGTAGTAATAAAACTTTTTCAAAAATCAAAGAAAAAACATACTCTGTCAGTGTTTCATTTTATGGATAGCATACACATGTGACTCTTTATGCCCCTTTTTTTTCTTTTCAGGATGCTGCCTTATGGCTGTTTAGCAACAGGAGACCACTCTGGCCTCATTGAAGTTGTGAGCACCTCTGAAACAATTGCTGACATTCAGCTGAACAGTAGCAATGTGGCTGCAGCAGCAGCCTTCAACAAAGATGCCCTTCTGAACTGGCTTAAAGAATACAATTCTGGGTTAGTGTTCTGGGTTAGTGTATTTTGTTTGATTATCATTCTTCTGAACAAACTGCCAAACAAATAACTGTTCTCGCAGTTAGAATCATCAGTGTCCTAGAGGAAATATTAGTGTTATTTATTGCTTCATTTCAGGTTAGATCAAAATGACAAATAGGCCTTCCTAAAATCTTACAGAAGATTAACATTGAATTCTGCTTCATCTAGATCAAATTTCAGAGCTGGGCAGTAGTTTAAAAATCTAAGAATTTAAGTGTTTAACAAATAACATATAACTTTCTAAGTGCATGAACTTCCATAATTATGTGAATGTATGAACCTAAGTAAATTTTCAATAGATTTTTAAAATAGAAGTAAATGAGTTTGTAGGCTGATCTCTCCAAACTAAAAAATACAGTGCTAGGAATTGTGTTATTTACAATTATTGTGTTGGAAAAGCCCTAATACATAGGAAATTAAGGAATTTTACAGTGAGGGGAAAACACTGCAAGTATTTTTGGCTGCAGATTTTGAAGTCAGACTTAAATGTTACCATTGGCAAAATCCAAGAACTTGGACTTCCCTGGTGGCGCAGTGGTTAAGAATCTGCTTGCCAATGCAGGGGACTTGGGTTCGAGCCCTGGTCTGGGAAGATCCCACATGCTGTGGAGCAACTAAGCCCGTGTGCCACAACTACTGAGCTCGCATGCTGCAACTACTGAAGCCCGCGTGCTGCAACTACTGAAGCCCACGCTTCTAGAGCCCGTGCTCCACAATCAGAGAAGCCACCGCAATGAGAAACCCGTGCACCGCAACGAAGAGTAGCCCCTGCTCGCTGCAACTAGAGAGAGCCTGCATGCACCAGTGAAGACCGAATGCTGCCAAAAATAAATAAATAAATGAATAAATTAAAAAAAAAATCCAAGAACTTGTATGTGAGAATTAATTTTCAAATTTTGATTTTAGGGCCTTGTACCTAAAGGGTCTATATTAGTTACTTCTGATATAAGTCAGTGACTTTAATGGTTGGCACTGTAATACTTAACTCTTAAATGTGGAATTCTAGTCTTTAGTCAAAACTACAAAAATGTTCCAAAGCCCAGCATCATTCAGCCAAGCTGATGGTCTCCTATCATTACTATGCATATGAACCTAACCCCTGTCCCCTACGGAAATGCGAGCCCCAGGACACAGCAGTTTGAATAGTTGATGTCCAGTTACCTGATGTCTTTGAGCAAGCCTGCTTACTCCTCCCTGCCCTGCTCCTCTGATCATCATCCTCACTCTTGGCTGATCCAGCATCTTCTCCTTATATGGTTTTGGCAGCTCTGTGTTGCAGTTGTTCTCACATTAAAAAGGAAACAGAAGTGTGGATTGGCTCCGTCCCACACATTTGGAGGCTGAAAACCTTCCTTGCTCCTATTTTTTTCTCTTATTCAGGGATGACCTGGACCGAGCTATCGAGGAGTTTACCCTGTCCTGTGCCGGCTACTGTGTAGCTTCTTATGTCCTTGGGATTGGTGACAGACATAGTGATAACATCATGGTCAAAAAAACTGGCCAGGTAAGCAACTTCCCAGAGTGCCAAGGGCCTCAGTGATGCTGTTACTTATGTGCAGCACAATCTCTTGTGAAACTCAGATTCTTTATGAGTCTCAGTCATGCCGTTGTCTTTCCTTTTATTTCCCACCCCTTGTTTCATATGCCATCTGCTTCATATATTGGTTTGTTTGCTTGAAGTTAGGTGATAAGCATTTATTTAAATGTTTAAAAAATTATTTAGGTTATTTACAAGTGACCTATTCCTTCAATATAAGAAATTGTATTTGGGACACATATGGGCCTAAGAGCAGAAGGAGCAGATAATGTGCAGGATGTATTCACTTTAAAGAAGATAAGTGTTAAAAAAAGAAAAAGTTGAGACAAACCCCACTTGAGGCATTTTTTCTTTTAGAATATCAAATATAATCATCTGTGGGAGTAAGGCGATACAGAGTATGACTAATATCATTTGGGGGTAGCTAGGGAGCTAGACCAGGTTATATAATATAAAGAAGCTCTTCGTTTTGAAGTGAAAATTTTCTTATTCTTCAGAGTGACTTTTGTTTGTAAATTCTTTAATATTAAGCAAAGACAGATGAAATAATCTGAGACTTTTTCAGTTTAGCCACCCTTACAATTCCCTGACACTAGGGGCATTCCAGAGTAAAGACTCTGAGTCACTCTGTGAACTCTGGCTCTAGGTGGGACCCAGAGTTTTACACCTTGGCGATCTGGGTAGTTCTGGCTTGAGCTTTTGAGAGTTGAACCTTGTGTTCACACTTAAAAGGATTCCCTCCGACTTCTGGTTAATCAAGCTGAAACACAGGTTTTTCTCCATTCTTTCTTGATGCCCTTCTAATATATTGAGGAATAAGAAATATGTAAATCCAAGAAGTCAAAGATAATAGGAAAAGAGGCCAACAGTGGGTGAAAGACATCAACAGATTTGGGGATGAGCAAAAGCAAAATGGAAAAATAGCAGTGACTCGGCATAACTGAGAAAATGGATACTTGTGGAAGGGTGTGTCAGTCTGAGGAAAGCTCTGGAATCAGGGGCACTAGGTGCTGCTGAAGGTGGGGAAAGGGGAAGAGGCTGAAAACAGGATTGATTGGCAGTTTATATATGGAGCAATTAGGTGCTTATATCTCCTTCCCAACTCCAAGAAGGGCTAGAGGATTTATTCTCTGAAGAAACCAATTCTTCTGACTCAAGGACAGACAGCTTCTATGGAAGCTAAGTGTAAGGTGCCATATTAAAAATAGGGATGGAGTGAAAGTTGGCAAATGATAAATGGTATGATTCCCAGCCATTTCTGCTTGCTTTGCTCCAAGAACAGTAGCAACCAGGTGTATATTCCCACTCTCGCAATAGACTACATGGTTCTTCTCAAGAGAAACTGATCAGTTCCAGTGAAAAGGCTTACAGATGCTGACTTTTGAGGTCTCTCCCCAGATACTCTGCAAGGAAGCCCACTGATCAACAATCCTACCATGTCCATAGATTTTTCATTCATCTTTTTAGTGACTCATTCTTAAATATGAATGGTCAGCCAAAGATTATCAGACATTTGTTGAAAGCCTCCACCATGAAAGAGACCAAATCAAGCAAAATGGGGGGAGGGGGAAAGAAGAACTCTGGGAAAACAGTACCTGCAGTAAACAGAGGATGATTTAAGAAGTAAATACAGAAAATATATTGCATCTATGAAGTAGTAAGATTCTATTTTTAAAAATTAGAAAATGGAATTCCTAGAAATTGAAAAGAACAGATAAAATAGAAGTATAAACTAAAGATCAACTAACATTTCTTGAACTCTTTAACTTGTGGAAAGCACAGTTCTTCAAGTTCTTTATATACATTAACTCCTTCAATCCTTATGATAACCGTACAGAGTGAGTGGTAGTGTTATCCCCATTTACAGGTGAGAAGATTGACACAACAGAGAGTGGACATACCAGGATTAAATCCTGGCAGTTTGGCCCAGATTCTGTTTTTTTAGGCACCAGGCAATGTATTGCCCTTTAATATCCCCCAAAGGACCAAGATATCTGATAAGTAGAAGAAAGAAGATCCAGAAATGATAGAGGATCAGTCCAGGGAGGTTCACCATCTATTAGCCTAATAAAAGTTACAGAAAGAAGTAGCACACAAGAGGAAGGGAAGGAACTTACCCAAAAATAGTACAAAAACTTTCCCAAAGCTGATGTTTGTGACTATCCAGTCAAAAGGGCACAAAAGTTCCCTTACAGTAGATGAAAAAACCCTTACTAAGGCCATTCACCGTGACATTTCAGTGCATCAGGCATAAAGTGATGGTCTTAAAACCTTCCCAGAGATACAGCAAGCCACTTACCAGGCTTCAGGAGTCAGAAAGACTTGACTTCTAAAATAGCAGCGTTGAAAACTATATAAGACAGTGGGAATTAGCCTTCATGATTTTGAGTGAAAATGATTTCTAACCTAGAATTCTATACCAGACTTTCAGTATGAATGTAGAACAAAGACATTTTCAAACATAAGGTTTCAAAAGCTGTATCTCTTCTGCATCTTTTTTCAGGAGGATGCCAGAATAAGGGCATCCATGAAAATAAGGGTCTCAACTGGGGTGCTTTTGCCCTTGGGGGACATTCGTCAATGCCTGAAGACAATTCTGGTTGTCAGGATGCGGGAGGGAGTATTCTACAGGCATCTGTGGGTAGAGGCTAGGGGTGCTGCCAAACATCTTATAGTGTATGTAAGGTAGAACCTCACAACAAAGAATTTTAGGGCCTAAATGTCAGTAATGCCAAAAGTGAGAAAGCCTGGTCTACACCAAAAGAGACATGATGTGGAACCCAGGAAACAGGGACTGCGAATGGGAGAGTGAAGGTTGAGCACGGGGTGATGGTTCTGGCAGGGCTTAGAGAACAGCCAGCCCAGATAGGAGCTAACAGATTACCTGACCATGTGGAAAACCGCTGTGAAATGATTTTCAGATTTTTAAGATTTTGTGAAGAATTAATGACCAGATCATAGAACACTAAGACAAAAAATAGTTTTGTCAAGAAAAAAGATGAGCAAGAAAAGGAAGTGTAATCATAGTATACTATTACCAAATGGCGTACGTACTTCGAACAGTAAACACTGGATATTGATTTAACCAGAAATTATGATATAATGTGTTGCATTATGAGGCATGACATCAACACAGGAGTACTAAATCTTTACCTTCCATAATAATCCAAAATTAGGAAGTAAAAAGTAATTATAAACATACTATTTAGAAAAATGGAGACATATATCAGGAAAAACACGTGGATGGGTGGGGAGAAGTTACCTCTAAGTAGTAGTGCTTAAGGTGGTGAGGGAACTGGTGGGGCAAGGATATACTCTCTCTTTGTTTTGTTTGTGTGTGTAAAACTGTTTGAGTTTTTAAAATCAAACATGTTTATTATTTGGATGTATTTTTCTTTTTAAAGATTCATCTTTCCCACTGTGTATATGCAGTTCAATATCAGGGTTATTATTGAATATAAAAGACCTTCGAATGTCAGAGCACTCTTTTCCCAAATGATCCAGGAGGCTGTGTAGTGTCTCTGCTACTACTCCATTTGATGTAGTGCGTGGGCGTCTAGGACTGCTGAGGCCTTGCATTTTTATTTGGAACCCACCAGAAAAAAAGGGAAATTAAATCCCATTTGTTTTCCAGCTCTTCCACATTGACTTTGGACATATTCTTGGAAATTTCAAGTCTAAATTTGGCATTAAAAGGGAGAGAGTGCCTTTTATTCTTACCTATGATTTCATTCATGTGATTCAACAAGGAAAAACAGGAAACACGGAAAAGTTTGGCCGGTGAGTATTGTCCTCGTGTCAGCGTAAACACATCTAATGTTTTCTCAACTGACCAGCTAGACTAGCATTTAGCTGAGAGGTATATTTAGATTGGGGAGATAGTCAGTCTGCTAACAGGAGGCTTTGGGGGAACTTGCCTGTCAGATCCTGTTCTGGTTCAAAGAAGAGAAAAAAAATGCTAGAAATTTGAAATAAATTATTGTTTTATTCCAATAGTATACCACCTTTTACCTGTATTAGAAAATTCTCTGAAACTGTTAAGACATTTGATAGTGAGATGCTGAGAGGGACTGGCATTTTGCTGTCATTCTATGTGAAGTGCAGTAAGAGAGTCAGGGTTCAGGGAAAGACTTTGTAATCTCTTATCTATTCCTTGCTGTTTGTAGGTTTCCAAGCATATTACTTGTCATCTTGTCTTTACTTCTCCATTTTAAATGGGGACAAAAATAATTATATTTCAGGGATATTTTGATAATGAGAAATATGTTACATGATGTGATCAACTCATCCATATGCTTACCAAATGATTGCTAGTATCATTTCCAGTTCCGCATGGGTTTCTGCAGAGTATAACTCTGGATCCATTTTCCTCTTTGGCAAAATTAGGGAGATAGCATTGGGTGGTCATCTTGAATGACCAGCTTGAAGAGGAGAGAGAGGGAAGGCAAGATGACAGGAAGGTACAATGCAAATTCGTCGACACTGATTTGGGGGACATTAAAGAAATTAAGTCTCTGGAGTCAGACCACAAATCTAGAATCTAGAATTATGGTTAGAAATCCTTATGGATTATAATCACCACTTTTTTATAATTAATTTTTGTGACACATAGAATTAAAAAGCCTAGATTAAGTGTTAAATTGCCTTTTATCATATAATTTCTATTTAATTTTGTTTTTGAAAAAGATATGTGTGGTTTTAGAGAGCTTGATTTATTTTATGTAAATTTTAGTCCTGGGACAATTTTCAAAAGGGTAAAACTCAGAAACGAACCTTTAGTTCAGTAGAAATTTTCCAGCTCTTATGGAAAGTCTAGCTATATCTCTCATTTTCCTTTATGAAATTTGCTATTTCCGTTCTAACATCATACTCTTGTGATTTGCTGCATCAACTAAAGGTTCCGCCAGTGTTGTGAGGATGCATATCTGATTTTACGACGGCATGGGAATCTCTTCATCACTCTCTTTGCACTGATGTTGACTGCAGGGCTTCCTGAGCTCACATCAGTCAAGGATATACAGTATCTTAAGGTATAAACCTCTTTTCCTTGTAAATTGGACTTTGTGAGCTTAGAGCTCAGCCGTACCTACCTATTTCATTCAGATGTTCAAAGGGAATGGAACAAAGTCATTTCCTGTGAGACAGTTTTACCCAGGAGTGGTAGTGACAAGCAGCTAAGTAGTTGTCTTGCAGTAATCATAAATTCATTTCATCTTCAAAAACCCTCTGGCAGAGGTCATATTATCACCATACCTTGGTGTTCATTCTCTCTCCCATAAATGGTATTTGAATAAGGACATGGGGTATGCTGTGTGGCCAAGTCAGCCTCCTGCAGACTTTGAGATTTGCACCTCACTACAGAGAATATATAAAATCAGATTTTTTCCCTTCATTTTCAGGACTCTCTTGCCTTAGGGAAGAGTGAAGAAGAAGCACTCAAGCAATTTAAGCAAAAATTTGATGAGGCACTCAGGGAAAGCTGGACTACTAAAGTGAACTGGATGGCCCACACAGTTCGGAAAGACTACAGATCTTAACGAACAGCCTTTGCTCCTAATGTATTTGTTGGTTTCGTTTAGTTTTCATTTTGCACTTGCACTAAATTGAACGGTGACCCTGCCAGAGATGTTATAAAGGGAATGAAATCCTGGAACCCAGAGTTAAATTAAAAACAATGGCATCCCACAGAAACCTAATCTGAACAATCCCTGATGACCACCCTCTGCTTTTGAATGCTTCCAAGATTCATCATGCAAACTGTCAACATTATGGATAATCATTTCCTGCTGACTT